TAACTATAATGTACTCAAAAAATAAATCAAGTAAGGCAAGTGGCTTATGAGGGTCTGTATTTCCTGTTGAGGCTGATAAGTAAAGACAAAAGCTGTAGATGAACTCTTAAACCAATAGACCTTTTTGCTATCTGTGTAACAAGCAAAGAGGATTACAAAGCAGCATCGAAAACCACCTTACAGTAGCTTTGGTGGGTATGGAGTTGCTGCCTCTAGTTTGCAGGGCAGATATTGACTACTCACTGAGCAGTGTGGTGCAGACCGCAAACAGAGACCGTTCGCCTTCAGTGTAAAAGTTGCTACTTTTGAAACGTGTTGGTTTGACTGCTGAAGCACAGCTTTTACTTTGAAAGCCCATGGTCTATGTTTCTGGTTTGCGTCACACTTTTTTAACTGGTCAGTAAAAATCAATTTTTCTTTCACGACTGTTGATGGGAAAGTCCCAGACGGTCGTCAACAGGCCTCCTAACCCTCCTTTATAGTGCAGACTTCATGTTAACAAAATAGTAAAATATAGGCTTTGCAACTGTGCTATGTTGAAGGAAATGCTCTGAAAAACTTTAGCATCTCCTCTTCTTCCCTGTTAAAATGAATGAAAGTATCTTAAATTGCACATCTTTAGTACCTGAATATGTAGGAGCAATCCCAACTCACGTCTTCTCATTGTGTTCTTATTTCCCACCCATTATCATGTGATTCAGGGACGAGAGCCAGCTGAAAGCCAGCTTTATGCAAAACATGATCGAGGACCGAACAGAGTCTGCCCTGTCGTACTACGAGTTCCTCCTTCACCTCCAACAGCAAATCTCCAAATAATCTTCAGTGTGGCTGCGGAGACGAGGGAACATTGAAGCGAACATGTGCGTCAGTGTATGTGTGCGAGTATATATGTATATGGTGTGAGAGTGTGTATGCGTGTGAGTGAGACTACACTCAAGGTCGCTTCTTGGTCCTTCTTCAGCTGTGGTCCACCATATCTCTGAGGGGGGGAAACCCGAGCTGAACTTAACACGAGGCATCAGCCCAATCAAGTCATGTGATGAGGATGTGACAAATAATTGGTTCTGATGCTTATTGGGCACTTTTGAACCCTGCTGAAGAAACAAGAAATCCAGGATGATTATTGTGTCAATGATCGAATGAATCAGTGTTTATTCTCACAGAACAATGCTGTCTAACTGAGGTAGTGCTCAGAAACAGTGCGGGAAAACAGATGTGTGAAGTGTTTGTGTTTGGAAAAAGCACAGTCTTTATTAATACGAGTCAAACATATGTACGTACGCTTAAGACTAGTTTATAAGACAGTAAGGAACCGGCAAAAAGACTGTTTTGTTTTTTGGGTGTCACCTGGAGTATTTGTACACACAGCAGCTGAGCTCTAACAACACTCTAATATTGTACCTGAAGGAGAGAGCGTGTGCTTTTTATTTGACAGTCATTATACTTGTGTGTTGAACAAATCTGTAGACTCTGTTGTTTGAAAGCCTGAATTTTAAAGGTGTTTGAAGGCAGATCAGCCTCGTTGCCGTCGCTGCCTCGAATGTTTGGATTTGGCAGCGGAAGGTGGTTTCATCGGTCTGGTCTGTCGCTCATCTTTTCGCTCTTTCTATCTGGACATTCAGAACACCTCTGACGACATGGCTGTTCTGTTTGTTTGTTTCTTTTTCTGATTGTTTAATTTATGAGACTCCCAATCTGATTAAATTCTATAATTGCCTTGTATGGGAACTCACTTTTTATTATTAAAACCTCTGTTTAAATACAGACTCTATATATGAAATATTTTAATATAATAGGATATGGGAAATTCTTTAACACAGACATAACAAAGCCATTGTGATCTTTTAATCATGCTTATTGATACTTGTATATTAAAAGATTGCATTATATAAAGGTAAAGACATGCTGATGATTTTAGTACAAATAAGGTGAAATGACGCTAAGAAAATAAAATGTTGGGACTTTTTAAGTGTAGTTTGTGTTTTGGTGGGTGAACAGTGTTTATTCTGTGAACACAAAGACTACAAAAGACAACATGGACCAAATCAGTCGATATTTCTCTTGAATGCATTTGAATCGAGATTTTTTTTTTTTTTTTAAATTGGTTTGGTCTCATTTCATACAGTTTGTAATCTATGTATTATATCAACAAAAATGTATTTAGGAACAGACAAATATGTTTTGGTCTTCATGCACAAGAAAAATTGTTTTTCATAAAAAAATACTGATGAAAATAAAAAGCAGCTTTGTTTTTGTACAGAGTTAACCTGCTGAGGACTGGATGTCAGTCACATGACTACAGCTAAAATAACACCACTCGTGAGTGTGGACAGAGTGGATTAAATCAACAGATGTAATGCCACTGGCTTTTTAGAATGACCTCACCTTTCAACAAGAAATTGAATTAATTTAACACCCAAAAAATAAAGTAGAAAATAATACAAATTTGACTTGACCTGTGACTTCTCTTCTGACTTACATGGACAACATGAATAGACCTTGTCTTTGAAACTTTAAAATTGGTTGGAGGGTGGGTGGAGGTTTACCTGTTAGTTATTAGCTGTGTCTTGAGTATAAAGTGGATCATCAATATTGGCTTTGTCCCACATCTATACACTGTTCAAAAACAGTAGCAGCACAGATGAATTTCTACCTCTGTATCGTCGGTGTTTGTGCGCAGGATCTCAGTCTTAGTACTCGTGTTGAAGGAAAGTAGACTCATTTTAGTTTTTTTTCTCTAATCTGAGAGGTTTCTATGATTCTTCTTGACCCACTCTGTGTTCCCTAATTGTACAGTCATTGTAAAAACTAAAGTACACACTCCTTTAATTCTTAGGCTACATGTAATCAGGATGTAACAAAAAATCATTTTGTCCTTACAGGTTCTAAAATGATTTAAATACAACCTCAGATGAACATCAGCGTGACATGAAATAACTTGAAATAATTATTTTCCATATGACTTCTGGTCCACTCTTCTTTACAATGTTGTTTCAGATTATTGAGGTTTGTGGATATTCACTCCAGTCAGGTGGAGGCCTGGGCTTTGAGGCACTCATTTGGAAATTTGTTCTGGGGTTCATTGTCCTGTTGTGTGACCCAGTTCCAGTAATGTTTTAGCTGTGCCTCACATTTCACCTTAGAATACTTTAGTATTTATTAAGAGTTCATGGTCAACTCAATGACAGCAGCCATGACAGTGCCCTGTGGCTGCAGAGCAAGGCCAAATCATCATGCCTGTGCCATCATGCTTTATAGTTGGTATAAGATAATTAAAGGGGAGAAAAGTGACAATTGAGTGAAAATTTATTAACTTATCACCATAAAATATTTGTTTCTTAGCACCAGACTTTTTTTGTTTGTTTGTTTTTGTCAATAAAGAATAAATTCCAGTCAGCCTCTGTCCCTGGCTCAGCAATAGATCCCTCTGATGGCTCTGCTGGATCTGCTTAGATCCAATCTTCCAAACAGCTCATTATATAGAAATACTTTCTCTCATCTTTACTCTTCAAAACTCAGTTTGTCAATCACAATTTACTTCATATAATTTTGTTTTATCAATTAAATTCATTAAATCATAAACGTTAAAAGTCAAACTTTCTCTGAGTATTTGCTTAGTCATTCTGACCAAGCACTACAAACCTCAGACAAGCTCTAGGCTGTGTGCCATATTTAGATTCCCTGCTGGTACAATCAACCTCAGCACAAAAGCGCACGCACACAGCAAAAGGTCAGGAGATTAAATATTAAATCAGTTTCATTACTCAAACTGATTTCTCATTCATCATATTACTTAGACGTATACTTTGATTATAACTTTGATACAAATTAAAAACACATTGATAAGCTCTTTTCTAGAACTTTGTTTCATTGTTATCATAAAGGCTGGATGTTAAGACCTTTTACCCTATCTCCAATGTAGTGAGAGGTTAGCCAGTGGACTTCAATCCCACCTTTCTCCACAGTGCTAGTACTCTATCGTAGAATATGATCAGTGGATATTTATATTGATATGGTGATTCTTCTAGAAGAAGAAGTGGTTTGTTCAGATGCAACTTTGCAAATGTAAGCTGTGCTGATGTGTTCATTTCAGAGAGAAGAAGCTTTCCCCTCTTGTTCGGTCGTTTTTTAAAATTGTGCTGTCATTAACTTTAACATGCTAACAGAGGCCCATAGAGTCTGAGATGTACAGACACCCATCAAGGGTATGAAAGTTGTGGTAAGTTCAGGCTTTTAATGATATCTGTCTGTCTGTTTTTCAGCATCAGTATGTGCTGTGTTGACATTTGCAATAAGCATTTTTCTCAGACCTTTAATTATATCATTTCATTGCTTTAATATAACCAATGACCAAAAGATGAAACAAATAAAATGATCAAGTTGTTTCATTTCTTCAGTTTTTCCATAGCTCAGTTACAATTATTTAAATTAATATGCCCTGCTTTTATATAATTAACTGAAAAAATTTTTTATTTCAGGTCTGATTTTTTTTGCATCGTTATTGCACTTTTTATTTCAGCTTGAGTAAAGAATACTCCAAACCTAGAGGTTAGAGCTATTTTTCCTATTAACACTACAGACCATTCAGAAATGGATTTTTTTTAAAAAGGCAGAACTTGTCACTTCCAGCCTCTTTTATGCTTTATGCTTTGTTATGCTTATGCTTTGCCACTCAGAACACACTGTTTCCTTAGTGTTTCTTTGTACTTTTATATGCTCGTTAAATGCTAATATTGTTATACAGTTTTATGAAGGCATATTAGAGCCGATTAAAGGCATAAAGAGGCTGAGGATTTAAACAAACTAAGAAAAAATAAATTTATTTACCATAAATTTATATAGTTTTTTTTTTACCTTTTTCTTGTAAACTTGCCATTTGTTTTTATTTGTTTTAAATATCACCTTTCTCTTTTAAATATATGACCCGTTTTGTTGTAAATTTGCCTTTTTGCAGAATATACCCATCCCGCCCCTTCATTATCGTCATCGCATATCGTTGACGTAATCTAAAAAAGCCGTGCTGACATCATCACTGTGCGCCATAGTTAAGGCTCGTCGCTTTTTCGTGTTAAGCGTTTAATTCAGTGGTCTGAGGCTTCTGTGTCGTGTACCGTGAGCTACTGAAGCACTAGCTTTATGTACTGTGGGTTGAGTTTGCATTAAAGGGTCATTTACTTAATTATCGACATGGAGTCCGGGGAGGCCAGCGAGGAGAAGACGGGCTCCATGTCGGCGGCACAGAAAAGAGCGGAGATCCGGAGGAAAAGGCTGCTCATGAATTCAGAGGACAGGATGAACAGGATCGTGGGAATCACCAAAAACGAGCCTGAAAATAACGGTAATCGGTAACAAACGATCCTCTGAATTTCTCCTGGGCGTGTCTTTCCTATTGAAACACGCTGTCGTGACAGAGACCCGCCTCATCCTGCGGCTGCAGTTAGGACGTTAGTGCTGACTTTTAGGACCATAACTTACTATGTAAATAATCGGGCTCACTACAGATATATTAAGTAGAAGAGGAAAATGGCAGCAGCTTGGGATTCAAATCATGCTAAATGCTGTTAGCATTAGCAGGTGGAGATCAGAGGGTGGCTTACAGGCTGCTCAGCTCTGATAAACAGAATAATTAATACACAACAATACAGCAGTGTAGATAGAAGGTACCTCAGCCAACCTGTCCTATTGCACACAGGCTTTAAGACACCTGCAGAGAAACTGCAGTAGTCAGTACATAAGGAAACAAAAAACATATATGCCAAGCATATCTCTCGTAACAAATATCTAGTCATTTGGGACCAGAAAGCACAGGAGTGAGTGACAAGGTAAAAGCTGCAGTTGGTTTTTGGCTGTGACTTTTATATATCCTTTATTTATCAGGGTAAAAAGTGTCATTGGCATGAAGAATAAAGAGATATGGCCAAAAGGGGGCTGAAATTGCAACAAATAATTATTTGTTGCAATTTCAGCACAACACCAGCAGTACTGTCTATGATGTCATTCCCTTTCTTTGGCGACACATCATAGTTATCATGTTTCAAAAAGTGATCGAAGCGACCATCATCATCAGTCACTGTTCTCTTCTTAATTGACTTCTTCAAGCCCTCTTCTTCAGTGTGGCCATATCTACCAAGCCCAGGTCCTCCTCCATCATCATGAGTGCCCTCGCTGAAGTTATCTTACTCTAAATATCCAAAATCAATCTTCCCAGACTTGAATGTGTTGAAATTCTCAATTCTGTGGAACATACTATGAGTTTTGACAAGTCCTGATTGTTTTTGCTCAGACCTCGCTGTTCTCACTCACTCCTGTGCTCTTGAACACTGTGAGACAAAAAATTATGCTGACAGTAACTTCCTAGTTTAACTTCAACAACACAGACAAGCTGGAACTCATCAGTGTCTTCACGCCATCAGACCCAGCAAAAAAAAACTTAATGGAAACTTACTGGTACTACAATCTGTTATCCATATTATGCTGTCTCTGAACTGAAGTAAAACCATAGTCCCCTGTACAAAATCTAAACTGCTTGCAATTTGTTTATAAAGATAATTAATTAATTTGTTAAATCCTTTTGAATTAAAGCTAAAACTGCAGGATTTGGGGTTTTTTGGGACGTGGGGGGTGACCAATCATTTTAGCACTAGCTAATGTCATATTATTGATTATTGTCTTCTCATTGTCAGGAGCGTCGCGGCGTCCTGCAGAACCCCGGTTCCATCTGCCTCTAGAGCCATGGTCCACTGCCTCATCTTCTCTGAGACCGTCTCCAGGGATTGGCAGTCACTCCCACAGCTCCACCCCGGAGAGGAGAGGCTCACCCCTGCCAGAGCTCTCCAGTGAGCCACCCGGAGGATCCTCAGAAGATGATATCGGAGGAGTCCGGCGGAGACCGAGGGGCGAGCGGCCGTCAGATGATGTCAGTGGCTCTCCTCGTCCAGGCTTTCTCTCTGCATCCTACTTTTCTCGTTTTGATGATGCCATGAAGCTTCGGGGTCAGCTGGCCAATGAAAAGCCGGCCGAGGACGGAAGGTTGGACTCAGAGGAGTTTGATCCCTTCAGGGTCTTCAGGCTCATCGGCAGCATCCTCCTTGCTGTTTTTGTCAGGGTTTTTGTCTGCAAGTATCTGGTGAGCCTGTAGCTTTTAACACAGACTTGTTAGTGCACTAGTAAGGAGTTCATTTTTACATTTTATGCCAGTATCAGTACCAAATATGTATTTATTTATTTGTTTGTTAATGCTACATTTATCTTGTTTTATTTTAGTCAATATTTGCTCCATTTCTGACACTTGAACTGGCCTACATGGGGTTGTCCAAATACTTTCCAAAGGTGAGTTTTTATTTTTTTAAGACTCTCATCACTCTGCATGCACACATTGTGCATGCAGAGAGGACAGCACTACGAATAATATTTTAGTTTTGTTTTTCTCTGTATAAATGGAAAATCAAATACAATGACCTATTGCAGATGTTCCGATGTAGTTGTGCTGTTTCTGGCAGCCCAGTCTTTTTAGCTACAATCTTCTCAACCAACGCCAAGTTCATACAAAGTACAATAAAAACTATTTGCTAATAAGGAAAAGACAAATACCTGTTCAACAATTAGACAGATTAAAACAACCTGCTGAAACAGAGCATCAGAAAATCTGGGAATGAAAGATGATTTAAATGTAACATAGCATGGTTTCTGGTGCCAGTTAGGCGGTCTGAGTATTTCAGAAACTGATCTACTAAGGTTTTCCCAGACAATCATCTCTTGGGTTTACAGAGAATGGTTGAAAAAAGAGAAAATATCTTATGATCAGCAATTCTCTGTGAGAAAAATCCATGTTGAGGGTTTGAGCTGATAGGAAGGCAACAGTAACTCAAATAACTTGTTAAAACTAAGGTATGCAGAAGAGTACCTTTTAAATGCAAAATACCCTGAACCTTGAAGCAGATGGGCTATAGAAGCAGAAGACCACACCGGGTGCTTCTTCTGTCAGCTAAGAAAGGGAAACTGAGGCTACAGCTCATACAGGGTCTCAAAAATTGGACAATAGAAGTTTGGAAAAATGCTGCCTGCTCCAATGAGCCTGGATTTCTGCTGTGTCATTCAGATAGTAGGGTCAGATTTTGGTGTACTGTTGCCGACCATGCCCATCCCATTATGACTACAGTATACCCATCTTCTTGAACTGCTTTCATGAACATGACGTTGAGTTCACTGTACTCATTTATGATGTGGTGGAATTGGAGATCTGCATAATGGATGTTCAGCTAACAAATCCACAGCGACTGTGTGGTGCTTTAATGTCAGTATGATCCAAAATATGTGAGGAATATTTCCAGGAGCATTTTGAATTTATGCCACAGAGGGTCCAAACTGGTACTAAAGAAAGTGTCCAGTGATATTTTAAAACATAGACATAGCCACCGTGACATCACCCACTAGTTTTGGACTCATTTTGAAGGCTCGGGGTTTAATTTTAACAGCTGCTGTTCTTGTTTTTAAATAAGAAGTGATCATATTTGGAAAAGCTGCTGGATTGTTAAGTCATCACCAGAAGAATAGATGGAGAGGTCCAGTTCAGTGACTCCACTTAATTTAGCAACCAAAGCAGGTTGTAAACCTGTTTCTTTCTGCTGCAAAGCTGGACATTTTAACATGGGAGTCTATGGGGATTGACTTGCTCTTTGAGCCAGCCTCAAGTGGCCACTGAAGGAACTTTTGGCACAAATTTCTAATAGAGTTTTAGTTTTTGAACATTTTAATCTTGATTTATTTAGTGCAAAAATAGATTGATTAATAATGAGAAGTAAGCACATATATTTGCATATAATGTGCTTTGGGTTCTCCTGTTTCTGCAGGTAGAGAAGAAGACCCAGACCACTGTGCTAACTGCTGCCCTGTTACTGTCCGGCATCCCTGCCGAGGTCATCAATCGCTCCATGGACACCTACAGGAGGATGGGTGACGTCTTCGCTGACCTCTGTGTCTACTTCTTCACCTTCATCCTCTCGCATGAGATACTGCTCTTCATTGGCTCAGAGACTCCCTGATAGGTTACAAGGACCTCTGTAAACCCCCACCCCTCCTTTTTTGCTGTCCCCTCCCATCTCTCATAGCAACATAGGCATGCTCATTTGCACCCTTAGATGCTTGTTTATCATTGACAGTCTGGAGGTGAACCCCTGCTGCCTTATGATCAGGCCCGCACACGCCAGCTGGACGAGTGCTCGTCATTTGAGCTCTTTGGGATTTCACTAACGCTAAAGCTACGCCCGACCACAAAGTTCGGTGTTTGTTACAGACTTCCAGGTTAATTTTTCTCTGAACAGAAGCTGTGAAACCTGTGTTACCTGTGTGTAAAGAATGTACTGCCATTTATTGCGCCGAAGGATATTTATTAGTACGGAAAATGGGAAGTATCACGCCGAAGATTGGATTACTGTACACTCATCAGTCTGACATCCCAGTGGGCAGCCACAGATTGCATTTAACTTATGAAGGGGAAACACTGGAGACTCCTCAAAGGCTGGGTCATAATTCAAAATCTGACACCTGATAGGAACAATTGTTTGCTGAACAAGATGTTGAGTCAGAACGCTTTGAATTATCGCCAAGCCCGTGAGTCATTCTGCGGAGTAATAAGTTGAGGTTAGTCTGAGCAGGGTGTCATATTTTCAGCCAGATTCCTCAGCAGGGTTCTAACTCTTCTGTAAAACCAAAATCTGCTGTCAAACCGATGAAAACTGCTGGAGAGTTTTGGAGGTAGCTAGTCTACAACACTATAGTAATCTTTTTGTCAACTTAGGGCATCGCACAGGGGCAACTCACTTTCAGTTCATGCCACTCAAATCAAACGCAGAACACTGCTGGCCTTTTAGGTTGAAGTGCTTCATTTGTACGTTGTGAAAGTGACGTTGGTACAACCTTGCAAGGAAAGATTGGAGAAGTTTCTTGATCCGTTACAATTGACAGTATGAATGACATTGACAGAAGCAGCAGTTTTCTGTTCTTTCTCATACGGTACATAAACACCCCTGCTGATTGCAGTGTCCACACCAGAGCTGTAGACGAGATAGAGACGTGACAGCCGTGTCACAGATCGTAGCATAGCAGCCCAGTAGAAAAATCTCCCGCAAACAAAAGTGTGAGAAACTTTTAACTCGAGCAGCGTTGGAAAAATACTCGCCCTGAGATTAATGACAAGATTCAGAAATTTGCTTTCTGACTTTTATTCTCAGGTTTATTAATTCAGCTTTTTTGTGAATACTGTGATTAATCTCAGAGATCTCACAGTTACGTTGCTTCTCTCTGAGTGGAGAGGTTCGGATGACCTCCGACACTGCTGCACAGCCTATTTAAAACAAATAATAAGAAGGAGAGAAAGAGGCTAGAAGTTAGACATCGTTTAACCACACTAATAATCTGTTGTAGAAAGAGCCGTATCAAACATTTCTGTCCATCAGAATGAGCTGGCTTAAAAAGACGGAGATCTTAGAGGTAGAAGAGGCCGGGAAGAACAAAACTACTCTGGTATAAATGGAATGAGGAAGAATGACAGAATTTCTGGATTGCCTCAAACTGTGAGCTTCTTTGATTTTTCTACAAAACAAACTTTTACATAGATGGCCCTCCAACCTTCAGTTAGAGATTTTAAAGATAGTCGAGTGTTGAGGACCTTCCCATTTCTGAGGGATTTTCTTTTCCTCATAGCACTGCTTTAAAAATCACATTTTCTCTGATCTTTGGGAAGGGTCCACTTACGTTACAAACAATTTCCTTCTTTGTTTACGTCTGATGAAGAGTTTAGCCCTTGTATGTTTTGTGTACTTTATTACGCTCGGTCATGAGCTTAAAACCGCGGTGAACTTTATACACGCTGAGAGTGTTTTGGGGGGTTTTACTAGAAAGTGCTGTCACTGCAGTTTTGTGTGAGGCAGTGGGACTTCGTATGCTTATTTGTGTTGAGTAATTCTGGTGACATATCCTGCTTTGCTTTGTTCAAGCCTCTCTCATACATACTTGCATAAATATACAGTATGCTCTCTCTACTTCTGTGCTGTCCTTGTTTCATATTTGTAATTTTAACCTGATTAATTTATGAATGTGAATATTTTTTCCATGTGAATGACTTGGTGTAATTTATCCTACAACTTGTCTGACCTACTTGATTGTTTTTTGATAAGGTAAATTTGCAGATACTGTTTTTAATGGCTCTTGCGGTATCTTACATATTTGAACGTGAGTAACAAATGTAGTGTTGATGTGATGTAAACAGTCTCTGCTCCAAAAGATGAATGAGCAACCGAACAATTCATACCAAATAAATACTACTTGTGTGACTCACCTCTTTTTTTTTTTTTCTTTTTTTTTTTGGCAGTCAGTTATTGAGCCAAACTTTGAAAAAGCCTTAATTTGAAAGACCAAGGGAACTGAAATGACTAAATTTAGCTTATTAAAAATATGTATCTAATCTAATCAGCCAATCACAGGGCAGTAACTAAATGCCTGTATAGCCATGTAAGCATGGTCAAGCATGTTTGGTTTGGCAGCGTTTTAGACAGGATGTAACCCTAAAGGGTGTTTGTGTCTGTAGCTGGAATCAAACCAACAAACTCTTGCACAATTGAAAGTGTAGGGTCAGAATTTGATGTTAACAACATGAAAGCATGGATCCATTCTGCCTTCAACAGCTCACGCTCCTCTGGTTGTAATGGTGTAGTATTTAATAGGGGCCTGGTAAGTTTGGTTAGATTTTTTTCCCTAAATACATGAAGTCATTTAAAAACTGCATTTTGTATTTACTTGGGTTATCTTTGAGTAATATTAACATTTGTTTGATTATCTGAAACATGCACGTGTAACAAATATGCAACCCCCACCCCCCAAAAAACTTATTGGAATCATTTGATCTGCTGTTATACGTCTTGTCTTTACGGTTACTACTCTTCTTTTACTTTACTATTCATGGTTCGTATTGAAATTTAACCAATCTTCTAGCAAATATTTGCTACGTTGAACATTTTGCATTTAGATTCACCCCAGTAGTGACAAAAAGCTGCCATTGGAGGATTTTTTAAAAAAAAAGTATTTTCTTTTCAAATCCAGTGCGATCTCTCATGTAAGTCTCAGCTTTAAAATGTGGAAGATAACAAGAAAGATAAATAGGTTTTTAATTTATAACTCTGTGGTGGAACCAATAAACCACTGATCCTCCAATTAATACATCTTATATTTAAGAATGAGAGCATTTTAAAATGTTTCAGTTCCACGAAAGATAAAGAGATGAATAAGGTGAAATAAATGAAAATGAAATCATCTTCATAAAGTTCGGGAACCGCTCACAAATGAAAAGCCCTGCGACACAGCCCGTGATAAGGCTGGGGTATTCTGACCTCCCACCACTTGGTGGCGCAGCAACCTTTTACCCGTGGAGTTTAGGAGTTGTAGAGTCGCACTTTTTTTACGTGCGGGTTCAAACACACAAACATCCACTCGACGCGCAAGACTCGTTTATTTTTTGAGAACTAATTTCACTTTTTTTGCGAGACTTATCTGCGTGGGTTCGAGATGGGACGTGAGTCGAGGTATGTCTGGACTTTTCCGGTTAGTCTGGTGCTGGTGAATCGAGTGTGACTAACTTCTGTTTGAGGAAGCGATTTTAGATTAGCGTTAGCATGCTGGCTAAAAGCGTACTGACGTTTATGCACGTTAACTAAGAGCTAATCTCTCATATCATGTGTTTTTTTTAATCAACAGGCATTACCGGAAACGTTCCGCATCTCGGGGACGGTCGGGTAGCCGATCAAAGAGTCGCTCCCCGGACAAGCGCTCCAAGAAAGACGAGCGGAGCCGGAGGGAGAGGTCACGGAGCCGGGATCGCCGCAGGTCGCGCTCCAGAGACAGAAAACGAGCCAGGTGTGTGGTGGTTTGAACTTAAGTTTAAGTGTACACGTACATAAATACATTTTGAAGTGGACTGAAGTCTTCTGGTGTTTACAGCCTGAACACAAATTGAAGTTTTTGGTCACTCTTTTGATCCGATGTAACAATACTGACTTTCCAACCATATGCAGGCAGAATGACCATCTCTTGCAGACTTGCACAACACTTCCTGAGCTATAATACGACTCAACAATACCAATTGCAGTTCTGGGTTCATTTCAGTCACTTTATCTTGCATCTGTTTCAAAAGTCTGACATTGTTTTGGTTGTAGCCTGCCTGTTGTCCCATTTCAGCTTCAGCATGCAGGTATTCTGTTAATAAATCGCTCCTGGGGCACTCGCTAATCTCACACTCTTTTGTTTTCCCACTTGCAAAGATGAGTAACTTGACTCGCAAACATTACAGTTCTTGTCCAGAGCCAATGAGAAAAGGTCAATTGTCGGCTTGGAGAGGGGCACGTTCTCAATTTTTTTTTCTTCCTTCAGAGACATTAGGACAACAGAGTCCACCAAAAACTCTTTGATAAACATCATCAGACAATAGCCTGCTTTAATGGGGGGGGAAAACAACAGGCTATATGTCCAAGCTATACGGTGATGAACAGAAGCCAAATTTAGTTTTTAACAAAACTGTTTACTGCTGTTGCTCTGTCTGGTAATTATCTTTAATTTCAGTAGAATTGCATCCATAGATTTGAAAATTCTTTTGAACTAAAACTTTCACATGTGTTGAATTTTGCAAATCCAGTAGGACAGTGGATAAAAATCACAGTGATGGCGAAGAATCATTTTGAATCGAGACAATGAAAACTCTCATGCACTTTTTTTATGATACAGTTTTATTATGATTAAGCTATTGTGAGGTTTCCTTTCAGATGCGCATCTGCACACTTAAAAAGCTGAAACTGACAAAACTGTTGTCTCCCTGTTGATTTGTCCTTTTACATGTGATATGTTTGCCTTTGGCTTCCAGGCGCTCCAGGAGCAGGGAGAGGAGGAGGTCGAGAAGCCGAGACAGAAGGCGGTCGGGCAGCAGAAGCCGAGCCCGGAGGTCCCGCTCTGGTAGCCCCAGCAAGAGCAGTAAAAAGGATGAAAAGTGAGGCTTTAAATTCCCATCTGTGATATTGAAAACACACACTCTGTACTTCCTCTGTGTTCTTTTGCTGGCACGCAGAGTCATGTAAAGATGCTATCAGCAGCCAGGATGTGAGGCATATTTTCAGAGCTTGGCGACAGTTAAAAAAAAACACCATATAATATATGGAGCTTTCCATTTTTATAAAGATTAAACTGTCCTCTAGAAGTGGTGAACGGTATAGAAGACCTTGTAAATTGGATGGATGATTTGCTTAATCTGAGCAATTCCATAATCCCATCTATTACACTTTGTCTTATTTTCTTTTTCCCTTGCAGGGCTAAAAGCAAAGAGAAGGACACCCTGGAGCCAATAGCTGAAAAGAAAAAGATTAAAGAGGAGAAAGAAGATGAAAAGGTTGAGGATGTAAGTTGGTTGATATGTTTATTTCTGCTAGCTTGAATGCCATTGTCCTTTCTTCATGTTTTTCTTTGCCCATAGAAAGAACTTTAAAGTGCCTCTTTGTTTGAAATAATAAGCAAGCAAGTAAAGAACATAATGAGAAGTAAAATATTTGTGCTTTTCCTTTGTTTTCATGCAGCAAGACTTTGACCAGAACAAACTGGAGGAGGAGATGAGGAAGAGGAAGGAGCGGGTGGAGAAGTGGAGGGAAGAGCAGAGGAAGAAGGCCATCGAAAACATCGGAGAGATCAAGAAAGAACTGGAGGAGATGAAGCAGGGCAAGAAATGGAGCCTGGAGGACGATGATGGTGAGGAAGTAACTGGAGAAAACACTGTTGAATTTTTACTTTGGACTTCACGAGTAGTTTAAATTGTTTAAACTGTGTCTAACAAAACTTTATCTGTGTGATAAACCAATCAGTCACCCTTTATTTGCTTTAATTTTATCAGCTAACTGACCAATACTTGCTATAGGTTTATCTTTGCCCAGCATCTTAATTAACTCTTCATTTCAGACGATGACGAGGACGGTTCTGCTGTAATGGAGGGAGATGATGACGAGGAGGCGGATGGGAAAGGGGAAAGGCAAGAGGAGTTAAAGGATGGTAAGAAAGAGGGTGATGACGATAAGGACAAGGAGACTCCCATGGAGCAGCAGACAGAGGAGGATGATATAGATCCCCTGGATGCCTATATGGAGGAGGTGAAACAGGAAGTGAAGAAGTTCAACATTGGAGCCATGAAAGGAAATGATAAGGTGAGGACAAAATCCCGCATTTTGCAGTGTTATCCTTATTGCCCAACCCTCCCCAAAGTCATTAGGATCAGCTCTAAAAACACACCTGAACTAAAAATCTTAGAAAAAAATGTTCAAATGCAATTGAAGTTTGTCAACATTTTCCTGATGTTTGTGTAGTTGCTATCATTTTGTCTTTAGGTGTTCGTCACTGGAAGCGTGTGGCTTTGGGTTTATCATCTACTAGTGTCAGACCAGATGCTGCCTTTATGGATGTTTGTTCTTCTGCTGATGAATATGCGTGTCTTCTCTTCTTCTGCAGAAAGGTGCAATGACTGTGACCAAAGTGGTGACAGTCGTTAAAACCAAGAAAGGACCTCACACGCACAAAAAGAAGGGAGAGCTGATGGAGAATGACCAGGATGCCATGGAGGTGAGATTTTAATGCTTGCTTTGATTATATAATAAAGGTTAAACCTCTTCTCTCGCTGCCCGAGAAGCTGAGATGAATGAAACAGAGATCCTCAGTAATTAATCTGCTTTCTGCTGATGGGCTGATCTTTTAACAATCTAAAATGATGCTCATGTGTTTGACAGTACTCATCAGAGGAGGAAGAGGTTGATCTCCAGACGGCTCTGACAGGCTTCCAGACCAAACAAAGGAAGATCCTGGAGCCTGTTGACCACACAAAGATCCAGTATGAATCGTACCGCAAAAACTTCTACGTAGAGGTGCCCGAGCTGGCCAAGATGACTACAGAAGGTCAGTGAGAAAACCATATCTGTTCTATGATAAACGACTTGTCTTTTTCATGCTTAATTACCTGTTTAAAATCTCTTTATTCAATTTATTTATTGTATTTTAAATAAATACAGAAGTGAATGCGTACAGGCTGGAACTGGAAGGCATTACGGTGAAAGGGAAAGGCTGTCCTAAACCCATCAAGACATGGGTGCAGTGTGGAGTGTCGATGAAGATCCTGAACGCCCTGAAGAAGTGAGTGTGTCTCTGTGTGTGCATGTTTGAAAATCATTGTGCAGTGAGCAGTCTTTTCTCTTTATATAAAATCCATTAATAAGCCAATGAATATGACCATTCATATTCACTCAAGACTAGCCACAAA